TACATTTGATCGATAAACCTTCAGAAGCTCTCCATAAATCATATCATAAAAGTCTTAAAGCTAAATCCTTTGTTAATCTTGCGTTAATACTAATTTTCAGTCATTAGTATTGTAAGATAACAATAGTACAATTAGAATAATAACTAATATAACCATATAAATTGATCTATTTGTATTGCTTTTTCTATCTATAGCATAATAATTGATATAAAAATTTATAAAAATACTTATTATTTTCAAATTAATAGAATTAATTATTATTATACACAATTTTTTTTACAAATTCCTTTGTATTTACTGTATACAAAACCTAAGGCTTGACTTTACCAAAGATTTGCCTTACTTCGATGGAAATATTTTTTTATCTGATCAAGCTTATGTTGCTTTTAGTAGATATTCTAGTTAGAATAATATTAAAATCTTGATGTATTAGCATTTATGACTGATCAAAATATCATTTCAGAAATATTAAAGATTGCTTGATATCTTCATAAGAAATACTTTCCTATTTACATAATCTTTCAATCATTTTTTATTATTAATATTATTAAATATTTCATTATATGTTGCAACTAATTTTAGCTTATGTTGCAACATTTTGTAAATTTGAAATCAATTGCTGTACCATCTTTATTTATTTATAAAATATAATATTTTAGAAACCTTGGATCTCACTTTAATAACTTTTTTTAAATTTATTAAATCTTATTTTTTTATTTTAGATTTATTTTACATTCTATAAAAAATATCTTAATTAATCATTATAGTTGTGTAACTACGTATTTATTTAAAAAGTTTAATCAAACCAATGAAAATCGTCGGCAATTTTTTTTTTTTTTTTTGATTAAATTATCAAAATTTATTCAGTTTTCTTTTACTCACATTTTTCTTTAGAACAAAATGGCAGAGAAGGTGCAATATTACCTTGAACAAATGGTCCCTGAGCTTGAGGACTTAGAACGTAAAGAAATATTCACAAAAGTCGGTTTAAAATCTCTGCTGATTTGTTAACGTCAAAATAATTATAAAATATTTAATATCTTTTTTTTTTAGGAAGAAATAAAGTCGATTATCAAGAAACGAACAGCATTTGAATATGCACTTAAGAGAAGACCAGCGCAAGTCATCGATTTTTTAAAGTATATAGAATATGAAATGAATTTAGAATTATTAAGAAAAAAAAGAAAAGAGCGTTTAAGTAAGTACTATCCTTGACAAGCATTAATTTAAATGTAATTATGATAAAATAATATTAATCTAATATAATGAATAAATAATAGGTAACAAGAGAAAAGTTACAATATCTGATTATTCAATAAAACGAAGAATATATTTTATTTTTGAAAGAGCAGTAACTAAATTTAAAGGTGATATTAAATTATGGTTACAATATATTGATTTTGCTAAAAACGAAGGTGACGATAAGATGCTTGGTAAGATCTTTGGGAGGTAAAATCAATTCTATTTAAATTTATATCTTTTAAGGGAATAATTTATTCAATATTGGATTATCTTATAGTGTACTACAATTGCACCCAACAAAGCCAATATTTTGGATAATGGCATCAAAATATGAATTTGAAGTGAATGCCAATATAATGTCTGCTAGAGGTAAATCAGGGTTCACGTGATACTTTGAAATTATTACTAATAGATATTAAAATAATGATATTTATTAATTAGTGTTTTTACAACGTGGTCTTCGATTAAATTGCGATTCACATCAATTATGGCATCAGTATTTTAAACTTGAGCTAGTATACGTCGAGAAAATCAAAGTTCGTAGAAGGATATTAGGTATTTCCAACAATAAAGATGAAGAATTTAACGATCACGAAGATTCTCAAAATTTCATTAAGATAGCAGATGATGATCTTTTAAAGGCCAATAAATTAGAGACAGAAGGATTAGATCGAGTACAAGAAATTAACTTAGATGATGATAATTTATTATTTCGTGGAGAACTTTCTAAAGTTGTTTATTTTAATGCTATTAAAGCTATTCCTAATGATCTGTCATTTCGAAAAGAGTTTGTCAATATTTGCCGTGAATTCTCTGATATAAAGATGGTTCAAGAAGAAATTTATGAAAGGTACACTTATACGTTAATTTAGCTTAAATTTACATAATGGTCATTAATAACATCTTCGGTTATAGTATACGAAGAGACTTTAAAAGTAATCCGGAAGCTTTATCTTATGTTATTGAAAGACATGTAGATAATATTTCCGATGTGCATAGCATCGAATTCATAAATTCAATTAAGCATTGTATTGATGAATATCAAGAATTTATTGAGGTTGGACATGATTTTATTCATTCGCAGGTGATACATAATTATTTGATTAAGTTATTAACATTATTATATAATAATAGAAATTTCCTAATTATGAAATGTGGTATATGTATTCGAAATTTCTATTGAAATATTTACATATGGTCTCTGAACCTAACCTGGTAAGTCAAGATATAACATTTCTTTTCGCATAATTTATGACTAAAATATTTGATATTTTTTTTTAAAAAAAAAATAGGTTTCTTTTTTAAATAAAAAATTATCAAAAACCTATAAAAATGCTTCAAGATCCAATTTAGCATCATCATCAATGTACTCGGATTGGATAAATTGGATATTAGAAAAAGATGGTGTTAAATATGAGAAAATTAAAGGATTATTAAAGAATGCTACAGATACTTGGCCCAATAATTCACAACTATGGGAAAAAAGGATTAATGTTATTAGTTATTTTGATTCTAATGAAGAAAGTGAATCAATTGAAGAGTTATATAAATTATCGTTAAAATTAAATCCCGCCTCTTTAATACTATGGGTTTCCTATCTTTCTTGGATATTTAAAAGCATTAATTTAAAAGATATTGAATTAGAAAATTTGTTATTGGTTTGTAAATAACATATTTGTAATTCCAAATTTTTTTTTAACAATTGGAATTTGCTAATTTAATTATTTATGTTATAGAATTCGATTTCTAAAATATCTTCGTTATCACAAAGTACTCATAATAGTAAAGATGATAAAGATTATCAACCTAACGAAATTAAAGATCAAATTACAACAAAATATTTGAAATGGGCCGTAGAGAAAGGAGGATTAGAAAAAGCTCGCAAAGTTTATATGAGGTATTTTTTTCCTTTGAACTTGGACTATTTGTTTGATATCAATTCTAATTTAAATAATTTAAAAACTCTTTCTCTAGTTTATTCAATAAAACTTTGCCAACTCTAAAATTTTATCAAACATGCATTGAAATTGAACAAGAATACTTAGAAAACTCATCAACCTCTGCATCCGATCCTAAAGCTCATTTAATTTGGCTTTTTGAACAAGCTTGTGGATTTGAGAAAGCACCAATTGGTTCGTTTGCATTATCTTGATTTTATACGTTAAGAACATTGTAATCATCAAATAATGTTAACTTTTTTATATTATATAGATTTATGGTTGAATTTTATACAATTTTATTTAAATAATAAAGAAGTTACAGAAGCCAATAATATTTATTGGAAAGCTATGAAATCTATAAATGACCCTGAATCATTTGAAGCTAGATATCGGCAAATGATGCATCAATTTAATAATCAAAGATAAATAAATAAAATCGCCATCTAAAAATAGGTTTAATTCTTTACAAAACTTAGTTTAAATGCTTGCTTTATTTTTTTTTGCTATTGACTTGTTTTGCAATATCTAATAATTTATACTTTGCTTTTCGTTACACCATTATATAATTTGACTAGAAAATCACATGCTGATGTCTGTCGTATCATGTTAATTATGCATGATAAAATAAAATTGAACCAGACATTTTATCGAAACGAAATTTTTTAGTTTAATTATGTTGCGCTTATATTTATTTTTTATTCTTATAGTGTTTACAGTCAAGTTGACCTTTGCCGAGAATATTCAAAATGATAATTTTAAAGAATCACTTACGATTAAATCGCTTTCAGACGGAAAGTTGTTAACCCATTTTCAATTTAACGTTAGAATTGGAGGAATTGAGGAAGGCAAAGCTTGTATGTGAGTCGAATTTATCGTTATATACTTGTGGATTCTAATATTTTCCTTAAATTTTTTTAGTCAATCATTATAAGTTATTTCCGCGTGCGATAGGACAAATAATTCAGAGTTATAATGCGCGTGAGTTGCACTTGACATTTACTCAAGGACGATGGAATTATGAAGACTGGGGTTATCCTATTGTACCAGCAGCAGGAATTGGTGTGGAACTTTGGGCATGGCTATGGAAGGATGGAAAGTACGTAACCTCATTTCTAGAAGATTTTTTGTTATAATTTTATTAATAATATATTATTCATTAGGCTAGACGAAAATTGGAAGTCATTGACAAACGCTCTTGCCGGTCTTTTTTGTGCCTCATTAAATTTCATAGATGATACAATTACCGTTCAACCTAAATTATCGTTTCGACCAGAAGGGCCGTATAATGGTACGGATCTAATTATTATTTGTTACGATTTCCATATGGAATATTCTTCAAAAAGTTCAATGAAAATCAAATCAAATAGATATTACTTATCTGCTTTGTAGCTACGGAGTTATCGGCACGTGCTGAACTTAGATACGGTTCTTTACCTCATGAAAATGTTTGTACTGAAAATTTGACACCATGGATTAAACTTCTTCCATGTAAATCAAATGTAAGTTTAATATTTGTGATTTTTTTAATTATTTAAATAACCGGAGAAAGTTTTCATACTTTTTATAAATTTCAGTCTGGGGTAGCATCACTTTTGAATGGACACAAATTATATGATTCTAATTTTCATTCAATGTCCATTCACGTACGGCCAGTATGTGAGGTAATGGCATAGATTAATTTAATTTGTTAAAAATTCATCAGTTTAATAATATTTCGTAATTAGAATTCGGAATGTTCGCGAAAACAGTTAGAAATCGTTCAGACTGTGTCCACTGTCGTAGATCCTGTAAGGAATTCAGGAAAAAGAGGTCTGTTTATAGTTTTTATCAATTAAATAAATATAAATATTTATTTTTATTACTGATTTACTTTAAATATATTTTATTTCTTTAATGTTTTTCTTTAAGATTGGAGTTTGAACCAGATTTTTGGAAGACGTCTTTCACAAGCTTGTCCTTTAGCCGAAGAAAGCAAATTAGAAATAAATTTACCCGAAGATGGTGATTATAAATTAAGTCCTGACGCGGATGACGTCATTCGGAATACTGAAGGTGACACGAGTAAAGCTGTGTATAATCTTAAAAACGGTAAGAAATTGTTTTTTTGTGTGACTACGAAAAGTTATGACTAATTCATTTATCCTTACAGTACAATCAAAGACAGATGTTTCGATGACATGGAAAGAAGATTTGTTCGAATACAGTAAGGAAATCCAATTTATTATTTTTTTTTATTTAAATTCTTTTTTTGTGATTTTTTTTTTTTATTTATGATTTTTAGATCTTAATTTCGAACAACCTCGTGTTTATGCACATCGTTTTTTTACCGGTAATTCATGTAGCTTTTCTAATAATAGTAATAAATTTAGCTAATTTCTTTCTTAACATTTGTAGGTTATGGCCAAGAAAGAGGTGGAATTAAAATTAATATATTTAACAGAAGTTCAAATATCTCTGTCCCAATAATATATTTTGACGTTATTCCATGGTTCTTGAAATTATATCTTCATACGCTAAAAGTCCAAATAAATGGAGTGGAAGCACAATGTATTGAAACTAATTATTTTACATTGTTTGGATGATCTATTAATTTAAAACCAAATAATATACACTTTTTTTTTTATTAAACAGATAATCCAATAAAGGATTTGTATTATCAGCCGGCTGTGGATCGTTCACGTCCGAATGTTATTGAAGCAGAATTATCATTACCACCTAATTCCATAACAACTCTGTCGATTAATTTTGACAAAGTATTTTTAAAATATACCGAACATCCACCGGATGCGAACCGTGGTTTTGACATTGGTTCTGCAGTAATATCCACTAAAGTTGAATCTCTTGATGACTACAAATACTTTCACGATATAGAAACAAGGTATATTAGCATGCAAATAATTTTATTTAAGTTATTCTCGTGGAATTGTTGTAAAATGAAATGAATTTCCTTCCGCTATGATTTTAATACTTGATCTGATTTTTGGCCGATTTTGAACTATCTCGATATAAAATAAATTTTGCTACAGTTAACTAAATGCTGTTTTATATGTAGAAATTGTTCCGAAAACATGCCAAAAACGGCATGTCATCATTTCCCTATCCGAATATACACGGAAACGCTTCTTGTTAGTCTTCCTACACCAGATTTCAGCATGCCTTACAATGTTATAACATTAACATGTACGGTCATTGCACTTTTCTTTGGAAGTATGTTTAATTTAATGACCAGAGGTTTTGTCGCGTTACGCCCTAATGAAGTTAACGAAGATAAAGTTAAAGTTAAATAATTATTACAAAAATTAGAATTAAGGCATAACATATAAGAGTTCAAAGGTAAATCATTTTAAATTCCTTTAAAAAAAAAAAAAAAAGAGAATTGGCAATTTTTGTTGTTCTTTAATTAATATATGATTTTATATTATACCAAAAGTAAAGTTTTATATCTAATTAACCTCCAAATCTTCATATCTTTCTAACCATTTCATATCCACAAACTCTGGCACTTTAACTTCTATTGAGATTTCTTTATTGTTTTTTCCATCACATTGTTTTAAATTATTGATCACCCAATTACGTAATATCCTATAATCGTCCATATCCTTCAAATTGTTCTCGTTCACTTTAATTCTATTTAATATAAATTTATCAAACCAATCTAGGATTTCAAATTGTTGGTGTTTTAAAGAAAGAAAAACAAATTCTTTTAATAAATCAATATTATTAAAAATTAAAATTGTGTTATTAGGATAATAAGAAAATAATTTATCAAATATGTTTTTGGTTTGAAGAAAAGATGATGTACGTATGTGATGTTTTAGGTACAAATAAATTATTTCTAAATCTGGGTTTAAAAGAGGGGAAATTGGAAATTTTAAAATAGGTTCTTTTGATGAAGATTGTGGTTCCTTTTGAGAGGAATTATCTTTAAAATTATGATGATGTTCGTTGCTCCAATCTACATATAGATCAAAAAGTTTTTGAATAGTATTTGATTCCTTTTCATTATCAATAAAATATTGTAAAACGATTTTCCAAAAATCGAAATTAATTAATTCTTTACATTTAAAAAAGTGTGTTACAACATTCTTTCCTTTATAAACCAATTCTGAGGTGTTTAAATAAGTATATAATATTGGTATTAACCAATTTTCTTCTTTTGAAGGAGAAGAAGGAAAACATTGTTTCATCTCATTAATAATTTGTTCCATTGTAATTAAATCATTAGATTTGATACAACATTTTAATAATAAATCAAAGGTTTCTAAATCAGGATATACAAGAGGTTTCTCTTTTGACATTTGATGTCTTAAAACGTCTAAACAATAAACTGATTCACGAACATTTTGTGAAGAAGCTTTAATAAATATTTTGTAAAAATTTAAATTACGATGATATCCTGATAAAAATACTTCAAACCAAACACGTCTCATTTCACTAAAAGAGTGGATGTAACCATATAATTCTAGAAGGGTTAACATTGATTTTTGATTATGTTTTACCTTATGAATTTTCATTAATTCTTTTATATGATTGATTTTTCCTTTGATTTTTAACCTTAAAGGTTTAAAATTTTTGTTGATAGATCGTTCATTTTTTGTTATACATGAATCTAATAAAGTTTGATATATCTTTATGTCATTCATATCATATCCAGAAGATTCCATTATATTATATATTTTTAATGCACTTTCCACTCGTATTAAATTTGGTTCATTTGAATTATATTCTGGTGAATCAGCAAGAGTTTCTAATAAAATTTTAAATGTCTCGAAATTTGGTTCAACTCCATCACTTCTCATCTCATTAATCAAATTTAATGCTTCATTTAAAGGGAATTCTTGATGATTAATTTGATTGGATAGTATATGAAATCTAATCATTAATTCAAAATGATCTTTATGATATTTGGAATTTGATAATTTTACTTCATTTAATAATTTTATCCAAGAATTATAAAACGAACTCTTTTTAAAATTAACATTTGTTAAATAATCCAATCTATCATTTTTGTAATTTATTTCCTTTGATTCCATTAACTCTACCATTAAATAATTATTTTCCTCAAGATTTTTAATACGAAAAGAAACTTCTTCACGTAAAGCTTGAACATACGCATTCATTAAAACTGTAGAAAAATTGAATTGCCAATTTTGTTGCGAAAATGTTGATGATTGAGCTTGTTCATGTATGGTAATATATTTAGAATACTTGTCTATTAAATATTTTGTTTTTTGATATTTTCCTAAATCGGCGTAATAAGATAACAAGACATAAAGTGGTTCTCTAGAAGGTATGTAACTGAATTGTGAGATTAATTCATCTAGATTGTCTATTGCAAGATCTATTGAAGATTTTCTTGATAATGCCCAAATAAGTTCAGAATAAATAGACGGGGTCATTATCATTTGTGATTTAATCTGTTGTAATATTTTATTGAATGTTTTACAATCTCCAGGATACGCTCCTAATGTCTTATGTAAAGGCAAAAAGAAAAGTGAGTTGATAAGAAAATTTTGTGAAGTCAAGAGAGAAAATAATAACTTCAACTTACTCGGATAACTAGTCTCCAAGTTTCCTCTGTGAAATTATGATGATCTGGATTAGACTCTAAAAAAAATTCAGCTAAACCTTTTAATTTCTCAAAATAATATAGATCGTTTGTTGAATATAATTTATGTGAAGTTGTTAAAGAACGAAAAATAGAATTCCACGTATTCAAATCAATTTTTACATCTAATCTTTTTCGCACTTTACCAATAATCTTTGCATTTGATTTAATGTATGGAATTTGATAATTTACAATAGAATTAATCGTATACAATGAGAGGTCATGATCCGATGATATTTCAACAACGTCTAAAAGGTACTTAAAAGTCTCTTTTGTAGGTGTAACAGAAGAATGTTTTGTCGCATCATTGTATATTTGTGCGAATATTTCTAAAGCACTATTTAAATCTGATGCCTTATAACACATTTGGAGGAGGACATGATAAATTTCTAGAGTAGGTGAAATGTTCTTTTGTTTCAAATCAATGAAATCTTTGGTGATGGCTTCGAGATTATTTGTATCGAGGAAATACTTCATACGATCAAGATATATTAATGATGATGATTGCATGTCAAATTGATGTAATTGATATGGAATTATAGAAGAATTCGAAATATGTTGAGTTGTTGTTCCAACCGAATATGATGAAGCTAAGAATGTTGGATCATGAGAACATTTAAAAAAATTAGATACTGCTTGTTGGATATAAAAAGAAATTGAATTCTACTTTAATGGCGTTATACCAAAAGTTCCTGGTATACTTCGAAAAAATTTATCTTTTCTCGTTTCATACTTTTGACGAGTAAAATATTGAGTTGTTTGATATCGTATTGAATTATGAGGGTATTTAATTAAGCGAAAACGTGTTATCTGTAAACCAATTGGAGGAACTCGAGTCTGAAGAAACATCGTTTATTGACTCTAACTTTAGTTTAAAACTAGAATCCTTTTTTTTTTTTTTTGCTCCTATAAAAAAAAATATATATATATATATATTTTTATCTTGCCTTATAAAAACGCGCGTAATGAAAAAAAAAAATGAATTTTATCAATCGAATCTTACTATATCATGATATCTGATATGATTGGGCAAATATACTGCCGATCACTTTTATGTAAATATCAAAATTCTAAAATTGCTCTGTTAACCAATTCATCGATATGATAGAATTAGACTTTTAGTAATAAATTTTTTCAAGTAAACACTTGTCTTGCAAAAGTTCTTTTTAGGCAAACATTTTGTTCTAAGGAATTCGAGAACATATTTAAATAATTTCGACATTTCGTGGCCATCAAAAAGTAAACCGTTTTATTTCATAATCACGAGAAACGTAGCACAAGCTTTTTATATCGTCATTTCATGTGATTACATAATAAGGGACGTGACAGCATAAAAAAAAAAAAATTTCGGAAAAAAGGATCAAGAACGATGTTTAGGTTACGAAATTTTTTATTAAAGGATTTTAATAGACTTTCATTTTCTTCATTTAAAAATATTCGACGATTAACAAATAATGCTCAAGGTACAATTTTGATTATCAATCAATTATTATTATTATTATTATTAACTTTGATTCTTTTTAATATATAATAAATAAAAGCAACATATAAACCACCAGAATCAATTCTAATTCCAACACCACAATATTCAAATCCAATAATAACAAATCATAAAGATGTAATGAAAGTAATAACACTTGAAACACAATCTAGAACTCCTGATAGGTTTCAAATGTTCGCAAAACATGGTAAAGACAGAATTCAAGCAGGTGATGTGTTGTTAGTAGAAATGTATACCTCAATGTCTTCCATCAAAAACTCCTCTACTACGAGTACCGGTTCGCCCTCTAAAAGTGGTACAACAGCTTTTGCGGGTGTTTGCATATGCATTAAAAGAAAAGGGGTTGATACTAATTTCACCTTAAGAAATATCATATTAAAAGTTGGAGTAGAACAAAAATTTTTTATTAATTCACCTTTAATTAAGTCTATAAAAATTTTGGCAAGAGGTGAGGGTTTTAGAAGAGCCAAACTATTTTATTTAAGAGATCAACCTGGTAAAGCTTTTCAAATTGGAGGATTGATTAAGAAAGAGAGAGAGAGAAGAAATGCTGAATTAGCCGCTGCAAGTAATATTTAACAAAACCACGTGATTTTAACTATTTAACTGTTAAATATAACGATTTTTTTTTTGACAACCAATAAATCTTTTACAATATGAGTCAAACTATAAGAGCATTAAAGAATGTTTTAAGAAAAGAAATGCGTAAATTATTAAATCAAATTCCGTTAGAAGTAATTGAACAAGAAAGTATGCAGTTTAAAATTAAATAAAAAAAAAACCATTAAAAAGAAATCAAATTTTTTTTTAAAAAATTGTTTTGTATAATAGGTAAAATTGTAACGGAAAAACTTATAAACTCAAAAGAATATATAACAAGTAAACATATTAGCATATATATTAGTTTGCCAAAAGCCGAAATTTCCACCAAACAAATCATTAAAGATATATTTGAACAAGGCATATATTATCTATTTACTTTCCATTCAAAATATATATATATATATATGTTTATTTATTTTTAAAGAGAAAATTGATGTTATTAAATAGGGAAAATATGTTATGTGCCAAGATGGAATAATGATGAAATGGAAATGGTTAAACTGCATTCTTATAAAGATTATTTATCATTACCTGTAAATCGTTGGAATATACCTGAACCAAATCATGATGAATCAAGAGACATAGCAAGCGAATTGGATTTAATAATAATGCCAGGTAATTCATTATCAAATGTGTTTTTTGACAATTTGTTGGTTATTTATTCATATAATTTATATAATTTCCAGGTTTAGCGTTTGACTTGCAAGGGAATCGATTAGGACATGGCAAGGGGTACTTTTACATAATCTTTAATATATTAAACTTTTTAATCGTCAATTAATTATTTGAATATTTTAATTAGTTATTATGATAAATACTTGGCTAAATGTCAACGCATCTACAATGATAAAAATAAACCGATTCCGAAAACAAGTAAGCATTAAAATCATGCTTTCTTTTCCCTTTTCCCTTTTCCCTTATGCATTATTAATTTATTTACACAAACAAATATAGTTGCACTTGTATTAGAATCCCAAATATTAAAAGATAAACTAATACCTACTACACAATATGATCAAAAACCTAACTTGATTATAAGTCATAATAACATCATTTCCCAATAAATCATTTTTAAAGAAAATAAATTTTTTTTTTTATTAGTTAAGTAAAAGAATTATGATTAATTCAAGTAAAAAATTACAAACTACTTTTTGTTCTAGATAGATATATATATTTTTTGTTTTAAAAAATAAATATTCTTATATATGTTATTTCACAGAAATTAATTTTGTATTGTAAAAAAAAAAAAAAATATCATATTACATTACACATAATATATTATACAATGGAAATGGATGGATTTAAATAAATGTGATGTTTTCTGGATGAATTATAATAATCAATAGTTATGAATAGGAATGATATATATTGTTCAAAATTAAATGTCTATGAGATGAAAAAGTATTTGGTTTGTAAAGGAGACAAAACATGTTTTGATAATTTAAAAATAAATGTAATCATTCTAACTTTGTTAAATAGCAACACGAGAACCGTGCAAATGTATTCGCTCGGAATCTTCTAGAGAAATTAGCGCCTCGCTTTGATAATTTCTAGGCTTCCGCCGTACTAATACATCTTTCAATTCATGTACCATACGTTCGGTGTCTTGACGTGCGGATCTTACCTTTGACTAATATAGAATTAATTAGAGTAATTACACGTAAGAAAAATCAAATATATTTTCTCATACCTCTTGTGATCTCTTGGATTTTTGAATTGCGATCCTTTCTTCTCTCGTTAATATCTAAAAGAAATAAGCATGGTATTAATTAATAGATAAAGGAATAATATAATTATTTATTTCTTACCTTTTTTATGACTTCTGGTTCAGACTCTGCTTCAAATACTTGTGCTGGTACGTCTAATGGTTCATCGGCTTGTGTCCAATCAATGAGAGGCGTTTCAGACTTATGTCCCACGTCTTCATTCGAATCTCTTGAAGGTTCAAGATCTTCAATTAGAGACTGTCGTGACCCAAGAGAATCAGAATCTGTCGGTATTGGTTCCATCATCTCCTTCAACACTTTCTTTCCTTCTTCCCATTCTTGAAACATATACTTAAAATCTTTGCTTATGGATTCATATTGATTCAATAGGCGTTCCTTTTCATTTACTTCTGCCGTGTCTATATACGATATAAATTAGGTTATCCGTTTACTATAATATATACGTGTATGTATATTGATATTTACCGTTAGCTTCATAAAATTTGCGAGCATCTTCATTACAAATGTATAATTTGGCTTGAACACCACGAATATGTTGTTCTACACATGCAAGACGATGAAGATAAGACTTGAGTGTTTTATTAGTGATAATTGCGGGAGATGGTTGGGACATAAAATCTTGCTTAGGTGACGGTATGGAATCTAGAACAAAATAAAGGGTGAAATAATCAACAAAGGTATTCAAATTAACAAAGGAAAAATTTCAAAATACATACATAATTCACTAGCAGAAGCAACAATAACTCTTTCCAAGAAAAGCCCGGTAACTATGCTCAAATTATTTAAGTGATTATTAACTGCCGCCCAATGACTTTCATAATCTCTTCGATGGGAATCTCTTCCCGGTGTCATTACATCTAATGCAAGGAAATGACAAAGACATTCCCTACGTTTCGCATGCATTTTCTGAAAACACAATTTCAAATTCTCCAAAGAATGCATATCATTTTCTTCCTCCATAATCCATTCATCATCCTCATTACTTGGAATTATATTATACATGTTATACATAATATTCAAATTATGTTTTGAGATTTCTGGCTGCATGACTATTATAGCGTTACGATAAGTTAAAAAAGCTTCTTGAAGAGTGTTATATACAGTCTCCCGAAGCGCAAGACAACGTCGATTTTTAGAATTTTGTTCTATACGAGATATCGGAGACAATGGCATTGATCTGTCATATCACCAAATTTAAGGTTAAGACAATAATATAATATATACCATATCATTTGATCAATTAATAGTATATAAAAGGATACAATCTATAACCACGAGACACCAACTCAATCTCTTGAATCATAATCAACGCTTTATTCACTTTTAAATCGAGAGTTTGACAATTATACACAAGTGCTTCCATATAATGTAATGCGGAGGTATATAATGTCTTGACAGCTTTTCGTCGCTAAATTTCAATTAAAATAATAATAAAATAATAATAAAAATAATAATTAAATATGAATAATAAATTTTTTTTAAAAAAATTTGATTATATATTAATCAATCATAATTACCATACGACGATATAAGAAAAAGGAAGCAAACATAGCCAATAGGAATGCAGCAGGTAATCGAATCATTGTTGTTTTTAAATCTTTGGCTTCTACATCATGTATTAACCATGTCAAGAATACAATTGTTAATCCAATTACCGCACTGAAAAGAACTTCAAAATTTCTTCGCGAAAGTCCACCGGCATATAAACCAGCTTCTCTAAGTTCTACTATGCTGGGTTTTTTACTGTCATAGAAGTAAATTGACAATGTATCATTTAAAAGGTGTGATGTGCATAATAAATATTTAAAGCGTTCTTCGAACTGGTTTTCTTCCTGTATCGGAAGAGCCGTTGAGAAAGCTTCCTATATATGTAATCAAGATTTGATTTAATCAATATTCATCTTGATATTGTACAAGAATTTTAAAGTTTAGAAATCAATGAAAAATATACCTTGAGATATTCGATAATATTATATGTAAATTCAGTGAAAAAAGTCATTTGAACATCGCTGTGTTGTGAAAACTGCCTTTCAAGTTCAAATAATTCGGGTTGCTTTTCTAACTCTTCTTTGCTACCGATTTCTATAATAAAGCTATTCATTAAAAAGAGAAAGATCTAAGATGCTTATTGATAATAAAAAAACTTTCATACCGGCAAGATAATCGGCAAACGGAGTATCTTCATAGATAACACTTTCAGCCATAGGTGATTAAGGAAAGAGGAAAAAATTATAATTTTTTTTTTTAAAAAAAACCAAAAAAAAGAAGGTATTTGGTGATTGTTTTTTATGGTAAAGAAAATATGACGGCATATATAATAAGCCGGTCAACAGAAATTCAACGATACAAGATCGACAGTGAAACCTGATATAGACATATGCAGTAATATATTAAAAATCATGCAAATGATACTCGATATCACGTTTTTATTGGATAAATAAAATTTACGTTCGTGACTTTTTATTTTATTTTTTTCTCTTTTCATTACAATATTATCATCTCATACTTTCATACTTCCTACTTTTGGCCTTATTTCCCTTTAAATTGTTCAAGTTTCATGATTGATATATCAATAGATCAACAGAAAGGTAACAAATATAACTTAAAATCATAATTGCTCCTGAATACCTTGGTTTATTAAGGATTTGATCAGTTTGAAAAACTTGATCAACTCAACGCTGTACAACCCCCCAGCTCCGGGCATGTATAAACAGACACTATCCCCTAATCAATGGGAAGTGACAAATAACCTAAAAAAAACTGTTCCCAAATAACAAATGAAACATAGGGGGTGTGACGCGGGATGATGATTTTTTATATAACCACGTGCTCGAACTTTTTTATATTAAATATATTAAATTTGTTAATTAAAAAATTATTATAATCAAATTAATGCTATATCAATGAAAAACTTTTTTTCTTATCCCTTAGATTGTAGAGTTTCGCAGGCAAATTTGCCTGCTTATTTACTATAAATTCTCTTCTGATTTACTTTTATGAATAATTAATATTTTTAA